CTCCCTTCCACAGTGGCTCTTGCAAATCCTCATCCCTCCAGAAACCCACCATAACTCCCTCTGCCCACCCTTATCAGCTCAGAACCTTGCCTCATATTTTACAGAACATATTTAGGCCGTAAGCTCCCTCTTCTCCCCTCTTTCTCATCTTCTATCATTCAGGTATGCTTTGTCACTATCTTTTCCTTCCCTCTCCCTTATCTCATAGGATGAGGTGGTCTTACTTCTCACTAAGGTTATCACTTACACTTGTTCAAGTGATCCATTCCACCTCATTTCCTCCAACACACTGCCCCCACTGCCATTTCTATTCTTCCCCTTATTTTTAACTTCTCCCTCTCCACTCACTCCTTCCCTACATGCCCATGTCTCCTCTATCCTGAGAAGACCCTCACTTGATCCTTCCATCCCTGATAACTATTGCCCTATACCTCTTCTGCCTCTTGTGGCTAAATTCATTGAAAAGGACATCTACAAACAGGTGCCTCCACTTTCCCTCCTCTCACTCTCTTCTTAATGACTCACAATCTGGCTTCTGACTTTATCATTCCACCAAAACAGCAGAATCTCGGAAACACTAAGATAATAACATTAGTGACAATAATCAACTTTTCCTTCTTGAATTTGAGGCTTCTCTATGGCTTGGCCCCCATCTCTTGATCCTCATCCTCATGACTACACAAACTAATTCAGCAAATTGTCAAATGTGACTAATTGCAGAAATCCTAATACGAGACAGAAAATGGCAAGGAAATTACAAGTGTCCCCCAGTAGAAGACAGCTACAGTCCTCACCTGGATTTCATCCACATCTGCAATCCATGCTCGGGCCTTGGCAAGAGCATCTTTGAGTGCCAGGATATTGGGAAGGTGGACAGGAATATTCTCTGCTTCATGAATGATGGCTTCCAACATGGCAGGAGGATGTTTTTGTCTGGGTAGTAAATAAGAGCAATTACTAATATAAAATATTAAAAATGAATAACTAAAACAACAAGATTAAAAGCTCATTTAGATAAATTTTTAAATCAAGATAATTTAGTTAAGTAATTATATCAAATCCAGGTTTTATTTACTAATATTTAATAAATATCAAAGGGTTTATGTTAAAGTCCCCAGAGGTCACATAGCCAAGGTCCCATAGCTGGAGGGAAGGGAAAAGTCAGGCAGAAGAAGATAGCTTCATTCTTGGTCTAAGATGCTGTCTTTTACACTGCCAAACCCCCTTTAGGAAATTCCTCCTCATGGCCACCACTCAGATCTCAGGAATAACATACATACGTAGAAGCAGTGGTACAAGGAAAAAGAATAAGTTTAGACAGAAACAACACAGGTAGAATGTAAGTGAGGATGAAGTGTGGGATCTAAGGTGAACACAGAGAAACTGAAGAAGGAAAAAAAAACTTCAGCATAAGGATAGAGCACATATACATAAAGGCCGGACAGACAAGACTTAAAAATAGAGGCATCTGGTTCAGAGAATGCAAGATGTTGGCAGGGGACAAGATGACTGTGTGGGAAGCCTAAAGTATAAGAGTATCAGTTAATAGCAGAACGTAGGCATGAGAGAGAAACATGAGAAAGGGGTGGAGGCAAGTTATACCTGGCTTCCAAACAGAGATGGGCCTTTTCCTCCCAGCGTTCAGCAATGTTGAGTAGCTCCTGAAGCTCAGTCCGAGCCTTATCTACAGCAGGGCTGGGTGCTACATTGGCACCCAAAGCCAGAAGTCTCCTCATAACTGCTAGGGTGCCCCGCTGAGCAGGGGGAACTAGAGTTCGTCTCACCTCATCCAGCCAGTAGCACTGCTGCATTTGTCGCCTCAGCTGTTTGGCCTCAGGCACCTCAATCCCCAGCTGCTGTGCCCTTTCCAGTAGGCCTGGAAGGAGGGGCAAGCTGGCAGGTAATTCGGCCAGAGCTTTCTGTGCCTCTACCCGGAAGGCCTCTGCTCGTTCTAAGACACTCTATGTGAGGATAAGGTAAGACAGGTAGGTGTTACCTTTGATCAAGGAAACAACCCAACCAACTACCCACAAAAGTCCTATTAGTCCTTCAAAACATAACTCTTCACACGCCTTACTTTGACATCCCCAATCTGATGCATGGCACAGGGAAGGCTGCTCATCTGTTCAATGAAGGCCTGAAGCTCTTCTAGGGTCAGCCGAGGAAGGTCTACCCTATATGAATATGGTGAAAGAATGATCACCAAGTATTCAGTCTGCATCACTGTAGGAAGTATTTAAACCAGGAGCTCCTTTGCATCTTGCATCAGCTCAAGTGGCCTGGCTTGCACCTCAGGTAGACCCCTGATTATCCATTTCTCTACTTTGCTACTCTCTGTCTCTAACTCTCAAGTCACAAAATTCTGTCCATAAACTCATCTACTTCTTCCTTGATAATCTTGGGTTCCATCTTTACCTGCCTAGATCATAATTTTACTATCTTTTCTTTGGTCTCCTTATAGTCTTCTACTCACAGAACTACAAAATCATCTTCTCATCTTGTTATACATACCTTTGTTCCTGAATGCTGACCAACCCCAAGGCTTGGGAAATGCATTTCTCAGCTTCACTCAGACAATTCTTCAGCTGCTGCAGAAGTTCACTGTGAGGAAAATGACGCTCCCGAGCCTCTGACTCCAACGCTCTTAGCTCTTCCAGACCTGAAAAAGGGGAGATACTAGGTGTTTGTTTGAACTTCAATTCAACCCTATCTCCTTGAAATTTCATTCATTTTCTGGGGAGTTAGTATGGTGTAGTGGTGGGTGAAGTGGGGCCATTATGGCCCAACTGACACTCACTGCGCTTTCGTCCATCCTCCAGCTCTAAGGCCACTCGAACCTTGCCAGCCCAAGTATCAAAAGACTCAGCCCGAATTTTCAACTTGTGTAACATGGCAGGAAGTTCATCCAGTGTATATCGGTATCTGGGTGGAAAGAACAGAGCAAAAAGTTACTCACACTATCCTAGCATGATTACTATTACTGCCCTAGAGACTTAAATCAACCTTACCGTAAATACTGTTTGCTTCGGGGGCACTTGCAGAGGTCATCAATATGTGACAGGCAGACAAGCCCATCAGGACAGTCATAACAAGCCAATGCTGAGAGAAAACATGTTGTTTTACATTTGGCACATTGGCGCTCATCATCTGGGAGTAGTTCAAAGGCTTCACGCTCTGCCTCTGTGATGCCCTGGGTTATATAAATGATCACAGATTATTCAAGCCTCAGAAACTATAAAATACCTTCACATAAATAACTATATATAACAAAAGAGAACATACTAAACAGTTTTAAACATAGTAAATGCTTAATGAATACTTTTGTCTTTCTTTTATTCACTCATTCATCAATTCATTCATCTCAGTGCTAAAGAGAACACAGAGACCCATGATGTGGAAGGAGAGTTCAAATAGGCTTTTTTGGAAGAAATACTTTGTCACTCATACCAAGTGATTAGTTTACTGAAGGAAAAAACACATTAGCTAGAACATCTTCATTTCTATAAAATGTGAAATTTTCCTGCTCCTTCAGAAAACATTTACCTTCTCAAGGAGGGCTTTCCGTAGTCGCCGTTCTTCTTGCACCATAATAAACATCTCCTTATGTACTGCTGCTGCCAAATTCAAGTCCAGTTTCTCAGGGGAAGCAGCCATCTTGCAAATGAGCTCCTCATGGGAGAAGACACAGTAACGCCGAAGTCGTCTGTAGTGTTCAATACACTGACGTCCAGCAGGCAACTGGCAACAGAGAAACACCAAGTAGTAAGCTAAGCCATAGTATTGCAGAGATCTTTTGTTTACCTGTTAGAGACCCAAACTCAATATGCCCCAAACTGAAGTCTAATTCCATGCTCACCCAATCAGCAGTGCAAAAATTCACAGCTTCTGCAAAGTTGTAACCCTGGTTGAAGCCACTGTGATAAGCACGGGGAAAGGTAATGACAAATTCTCCTGCACACTGGTTTGTTCGGACAACCTAAGGAGAAAATAGACAAAAAATATCACACATACATATATCTCCTTGTGTACATATACATATACACTTGTTTATATCTGTATATACATAAATACATTTATGTACACATGTATATACATGTGTACAAATATGTAAATAAAATGAAAGCTTGGAAGTTGAGCTTCTATATAAGGAATTAGGCTAAAATGGAGATATGATGAAACAGCATTGTTCCTACTATCAGGAACTTCTCAATTTGATAAGGACAGATATACCACAGATCTTCTTGTTAAGGTACATCTTCTTAACCAATTTTCAATTTGTGCTGTCTTCCATATCACCTAAATCAATGTGAAGAACTTTTACCTCTTTAGACAGGAAGATCACCAGAACATGGAAACTACAGAAATCCGTGTATTTGATTTTTTTGTGCCTATCTTCATTCAAATCTAAATACATATACTGATGTAAACATGTACAAACTCAGAATGTATAGTCCTGGGAGATAGGCCTAGGAAAGGCAAAAACTAGGTATGCACCAATGCTCAGAAGCAAGGCAAAGGGCTGACAGCATTTACCCCAAGATATGTACAGCATGGAAATACAGAGGTGTAGATCTAATCAAGAAAATAAAATATAGACTAGCCACTTAAATATACAGAGCCTTTGTTAGAGGATGGAGCATCTCCAAGGCAAAAGTGAGAACACAGAAAAGTGAGATGGTTAGCTGGACTGTCAGTGAAGTCGGGGCTAAAGTCAGTGGCATTAAAACTTACACCTTAATGAAAAGAAAATCTTCCTTTTCCAGGGATCAGATAAAGAGCTGTGAAAACAAGTACTATTCAGCATTAAAAGCACGGATAAAGGATGAGTCCCTACTCCATATATTGTCCATATTCTTTTTCTTTAGAGAATATTTTATATACTTTGTACCTACATTGTGCTTATTTACCTGTTATCTTTACTTGTATTTCAAAAGGCCCCCAGATTCTCAAAGAAAGGTACTGAGACGATACAAATCTTTGTTTTATTCCCCGGTGACTAGCCATAAATCTTGCATGTGGTAAGCACTTAATAATGTTAATTGAATTGAACTGAAAAGGAAATAGGAAGTAGTAGTTGCACATTTTGTACATTTAAACCTGCCATTCAATATCTGTCAGTACCAGGTTCTCTGAAATCCCTCATACTGCAAATGAATAAGTGACTCAAGAATTCTTACTACTCTACTTTTTTATCTTCCCAAGCAGTAGACTGGGCACCTCCTGATGACCACACTGTGGGAAAAGTAGAAAAGAGAAGGAAATGGAAAAGGTCAGATAAGAAAAGATGATGGGGTGGAGAGGGAAGCAAGAAAGGTGCAATACTGACCGGAACTCCATGTGACATTAGGGTATTGGGATTCATAAGTGTGACCAACTGATGAAGGAGATCAGGCTGGCTGTCAAACAACTCAGGCGTCAACTTCTTCATCACCTCCTCCAGGTGTTCAGCTGCAAATGAGGGTACTCCATACCACGTCTTTGGTTCACCCCTGACATTAATTGTATAAAAAAAGGTCACACTGCAGCAGGCCCTACTTAAACCTTTACTTTCCTACCTACCCCCAACTCAAAGAGCTTGCTCACCAGTGAAGATAATTAATGGAGTAGCTCCAGTGGTCCTCAATGTGCCAGCAAAAAGCAGAAAAAACCATGCCCACATATAGCCAAGGAACTTTCATGCCTGAAATGTCAGCATTGATATGGCATAGGACTGACTGTTCCAGAACAGGCATAACATTCAGGTTCCAGCCACTGGCTGCATACTCCTAGAGAAAGGAGAGAAATGGACACAAATCTTGGAGAATAAAATGAGACTCACTGGATGATTGTAAGGAATGTATGTTGTCAAATTCCAAATACTAGTGAAACTAAGTTATTACGTTATAGCTTTCCTACATTAATAGACAAACAGGTTGACATGCTTATAGGCAGAAACAGTATCTAATTCAAGATTTAAATGCTTTTCTCCATATTCAGCAGTATTTCCACTAGTCTCCATTGCCTCCTCCTTTCCACTTCCTGTGACATAATATGAAACTAAACATAATTGTTGACTGAGTTGCAAAAGTACTTTATTGTCTTGGTTTATTCCAACTCTTACATATAACCTAGAATTTCTCCCTCCCACATACAGAATTTCACAACTAAGTATTGTACCTCTTCCTCATGAGACAAATGCTTCTTGCTATCATTAATGGGAAAACCACTACCAAACTCCTTGGAATGGATATCAGCTCCATATTCCACAGTCACATCCTCTTCAATGCTGTTCACAAGCCGCCAGAACTCCCTCTCTACTAACTCTGTGGGTACCATCTGGGGAATAAGAACAGAGTGTGTATGTGTATGTATTTTGTGTGTTTCTGTATGCAAAGAGGTGTGGTGAAAGTAAATGGGAGGAGTGGAAATAGGACGAGAATATACAGCTACAGACCCCTCTCCAATCCTTGGGTTTCAGGGTCACAATGTGGAAAAGAAATTGGGATTCAGTTCCCCTACCCCACCTCTCCTTTTACCCCCTGAAAATTATCTGGCCTCTACCACCTACATGTACAGGCATATTGAAGTAATCAGACTTGAATGTGTCAGCCATTTCCCCAAAACTTTGAAGTGTATATTCCCTTGTGGCCTGTTCAAAGCCAAATGCTTCTGGGGGTCGTTTACACTCCTGAAACAAGGGGGGAAAATCATAAAACAAATTATGTAGAAATGAGAACCTCTTCCAACCCCCACCAAACAATATTTTAAATAATATCTTCAGTTTAGCTACTGAGACATTACCTATCCTACACCTCCAAACCCTCATTCCAGTAAGACTGGGCTCAACTATCTCCCCAAAAAGTCAGACTGTATTTTTTCACGAATTTTTCCTTTCAAAATGAATGCCTTCTTCCAATCTGCTTGATTCTCAAAACCTAGCTCCCCCTCACCTACAATGTCTTCCTCAATCTTTCCTTCCATTTTGTCCTCTTTGGTGACAGTATTCTGAATTGCCTCACTCTGAAACAATGAGAATGGCAACTTGCATGACAATTAAAGACACAAGAATTCTCAAGAAATCACTGCTTGGTAACTTAAACACGATAGTCAGAGGCACTAGCGATTCTCCATTGGACCCCCCAAAAGAAGAAGGTACCATACCGCCATGACACACTTTGGACAACGCCAGACACCTTTGGGGATCTCAGGCAGAGGTGGTAGCAAGCAGAAAATGTGATAATTGTCATCACAGCCATCACACAGCAGGAGTTTATCATCTTCATCTCCCCGAGCACATAGTCGGCACGCATATGAGTCAATCTGAGAAGACAGAAACCAGAAAGGAAAAACCCCTACCAGCCATGCACTATCTAGTCATCAGTCATCAAAAATTTCTAGAAGGCCATCCTTATCCATACCTACTTTAACTATCAAGCCATGCCGTTCTGTAACTCATAGTTCAAAAATGAAAGGGACTCCTATCACATGCAAGGAACTCTACTACAGTCTTTATGATAGATGATAATATAGCCTAAAGAAACTTTTCCCACATAAGACAAGCGAATGTATGTGTATTATCACTGGTATCAACAATTCCTGGGGAAGGATCCTCACTCTACCAAAGCAAGTTGCCATCTTTTCTACAATATATCTCAGTGAACTGCCTAAATCATTGAGATCTGTAAGTTGTTCAGTCAAAGTACTACTACATGCCAATGATGGAACTTGAACCCTAACCCTAACCCTCACCCTCACTCACCACCTCACTGATTTTATGTTTTGCCCTCTAGAACCAAGTAGAACAAGTCAATCCTTTTTCCACATAACAAATTTTCAAGTAAGATAACTGCTCCTACCCTTAAACCTTTTTGTCATGCTATAAATATCTCCAATAACTTGCATCATATAACAGGGAGAGAACGAGTTTTCACATATTTAATCTTTTTATTTCATGGCAGTTAGGGAGCATGATAGTGCATACCCAGTCTCAGACACTTACTAGCTATATCCTCTGGACAAGTCCTTAACCCTGTTTGCCTCAGTTTCCTCGTTTGTAAAATGAGCTGGGGAAAGAAACAGCATACCATTGCAGTATCTTTGCCAAGAAAATTCCCAATGGAGTCATAAAGAGTCAGACTGGACATTAACAACTCAACAACAAAATCTTTTGACTTCATGTGTTGTTTCTAAAGAATATTAATCAAATCTTAAAACTCTTCATACACTAACTTGTGCTTTGCTAAACAGGGGCTCCTCAAATGTCTACTACTCTTATGAGTTCTTGGCACTGTCAAAAGTCAATATTTCAAAATCTGATTTTAGAAATCAAAACTAAGGAAAATGAGATTTATCTGACTGGTGGCTGAAACCTTCCATGTGTTATTTTCCCCACTGAAATAAGAGCTCCTTAAGAGGTACTGTATGACTTTTCTATTTTCCACACATAATGCAATGCTAGCCACAAAGTAAGTTTTTAATAAATATCAATTGAGGGTTACCTAGTTGGCACAATAGATAGAACTCCAGCCTTGGAGTCAGGAGGACTCGCCTTTAAAACCAGCCTCAGACATGTGACAATTACTAGTTGTGTGACCCTGGGCAAGTCACTTAACCCCAACTGCCTCACCAAAAAGCTAAAAAAGAAAACAGCAATAATAACAATAAATGTTCATTTATCCATTCATTGCTGTGGTGGTGTAAAAGTTCTAGATTCGAACATTAACTTTATTATAACTGGCTTGTGTTAGGCAATCTCCTGTCCCTTTAAAGACTTTGGGTATTTAGCAAGTGTGAAGAAGTCTCCTTTTATTAATAATTGTTATCTGTGTAATATGCTAATATTTTCAAAAATGTTTCTCTTGTGACAGAGCTCTCCTGTCACAGAACTCTGGTCCTTGTGACCCACCAGGTAACAACCCCCAAGGACTCGAGCTCTCACAGGACTCCAGAACTGTATCATCTTCCACTTGTGGGCTTGTCTTGGGAAACCACTCTGGGCCTGGGAGTGATGTAATCCACTTTCCCCCCTCCATTCCCCCTTGTGATTTTTAAGTGATCAGGAGAATTCTTGATTTGCAAATCTCTTCCTCATAATGAAACTAATTAATTAAAGGGCTACCTGATTTACTGGCACTTTGTCTCTGGCCTGCTGTTTTGTCATTATCGTCACTATAGTCATTATCGGGTTAGAGACCGGCTCAGTAAAATCCTGTTTGCTATCAGAAGTTTTTAAGAGTGTACAGAGGCTGAAGCCTTTGAGCTCTCAGTATGAGGGAGAAGTGTCTGGTACCACTGGACCTTTTTTCCAGAGTCCCAACTCACACCTGGCCTAGCAGGTTTGAAGCTCCTATTCTCTCTCCACTGTGGGCTCAGCCTTTTGATCCATTTTCCATTTTGAGGAAACATAATGAAATGGTTTTGCCATTTCTTTCTCCACTGCATTTTACAAATGAAAAAATTGAGGCAAAAAAAGATTAAGTCACTTGCCCAAAGTCACTCAAGGAACCTTCTTCCACAGCAGTCCTCACAGCAAGGCTCCAAGCCATGGAGGTCCACACAAATAAACAACAAAGCCACACCCTAGCAACTCAACCCCAACCCCCACCCAGTCACCACCCAGACCTTGACCCCATTGGTAAACAGTAGTAAATCCCAGATTTGGATTTTCTGGCCCAGATTACTCCCTAAGGCCTGTTGCACACAGATTTGGTTTGCTTCCATCTTTTCTCTTACAACGTAGGCATGGCTATGGCCTGAGGTTTTTCTCTTCTCTCTTTTATTAATGCATGTCTAAGCTACAGACTGCAGGCTTTTATTTCTTCACAAGGTAAAATTTTTTGCACTGAGTTACTTGTGCAATTGATTTTGTGGACAGTTAAACCGGCTGAAGTTAACATCTGTGAGAGTCAGGTAAAGGTTATATTTCCACAGAGAAAGAGAATAATTCAGAGATTTAAAGAACAATTCCAGGAAGTAGTACACCATGGGTGGGGGAGGGCTTAACAGATAAGAAGTAAGTTGATGGCTCTGAAAACACTCCAAATTCAAGATAAGGGTCGAGCCGGCTCAGACCAGTTAGGGTCAACCTGAGGACACCTAAAAAAAGGTTAGTGTTCCCGCTTAATGAACTTCATTACTATTATCTGACACACCCCAAATAAAATTAGAGCCTCATTAACGAGTCACGGGATGCATGACCAAGGGAGGGGGAACATACTTGAGCATATCAAGGGGAAACATGTAAGGTGGGGTGTAATCCGGGAAGGGATGGACCAATCTGGGCCTGGGAGATTTTGCACTGAATTTGAATGCATAAAAGCACACTTGCCCTTGAACTTGGGGCCCATCCCTCCTAAAGAGGGGTGGAGCCTGCTTCTGGCCAGAAATGTCTAATCCTCTGGACTTTCTCTGTAATAAACTTTCTTGATACTAAATTTTAGATGTCAAGCGTATTTCTAACACAGCTTAATTGTGCATTTGGTTAGAATTCTGTAATGTTCACTTCTGTAATTCAAATGAATTGCTAGCGCAGTGTAGATTACTCGCATTTACGTACTTGTATTTCATGCATTTGTGTTCTTATACCCAGACAGGGTATTTATATACTGTGTGTACTAGTTAAGTGGTGTTATTCTCTTTGAGTGCACACCTTTAAAATGGGACAGATGTGTGATAAAGGCATGAGGGAAGTTAACAGCAGTTCCTATTAACAACCCCCTGGGAAATACAAGAAACACGGCCAAAAAAAATTAAAAAAAAAATATGACCTTGACTGTCCCCCATATTGCCCAGATTGGGTTGATTTAACTAGTGATGACCCTCAACTTTGCTGGCCCGGTTGGGGCAGCTTTGATAAGACCAGATTAGAGTATTTAAGGCAGAAACTGATGAAGAAACTCAGCCTCTTGAGTGTGATAGCTATGATAAATGGTACTCCGAGGCAAAAGAAAGAGAGCAAAGTACATGTCACATCAACGAAAGAAATGATTAAATCATTTGAAAACATTGTTCTTAACAACCCCCAAACTACTCAACTACCTAAAATATACCCACCTTTACCAAAAGACTCACCAGCTCCCAGTTTCTCTGAGGGGAATGGCTTGTTTCAAGCCCTGGAAGCACATGGAGAACTCCAGGCTGTTGCCACGGAGCATCCCAGCCCCAGGGGGGAACCCATAGGCTTTGCTGAGCAGTTCCGACTCACCCTGTGTTCATACAGACCTGGGTAGCTATCTGGATCTGTATCAACTCATGACTGTCGGGAAAGGGAGAGCTGGTGCCTGAAAGCACTCCAGAAAGCACTGAGAGACCCTCCCTATACTCCCAACCACCAAGCATGACTAAGGCTCTGGGGAGGGGTGGGAAAAGGAGGGGGATGGTACAGGTGATGCCTGTTATGCCCATGACTCCTGCTGCAGATGCCTCCTTGCTCACACAGGGGCAACAAATGTCAGCTCTCATTGACACTGGTGCCACAGTCTCAGTTTTAAACCCCTATGACTTCCCCACTACCCTCCCCCAGAATCAAGTGTGTATCTCAGTTGCGAGAATTGCCACTCTCCCTTCTTACTGGAGGGACCAGTGCTTTTCATCCTTTTGTCCTGGTCCCTGAGGTCCCCGAGGTCCCCAACCACTTTACTAGGATAGGCCACTACTTCATTTGACCCAGGAGGGACCACTTCCTTGTGTCTTTTATGCCCGACACCCTCCTTAACCTTTTCTGACCGTTCAACTCTTAACCCAGTTCCCTCCAGCTTGTGGCCTTCAGATGTTACTGATATTGAGTTAGCTAACAGCACCCCACCCACTGCGCAGTTAGCTCTCCTATTCAATTTATTCACCTCTGAGAAAGGACAGATGTAGTTGGTATAAGCAGCACATTTTATCTAGCTGTAAATATCTACTAGTAAAATGGTGTTAGTACATGCATAATAAGAATATTTTAGATCTACGTCCTATTACTTTAAATATTTTAAGTTCCACTATCTGCAGCTTACATTTGATTTAATTTCTGACCCCACTTACCCCTAAGAAAAAGAGAGGATGTAATTACTTACAAACTGGGCATTACTATGGTTCCTCCGAAGGCGCATTGTCATTTTGGTACATGGCTCCATGCTGTGAAAGAGTTCCTCCTTTCCATCCATAAAGGTTTTGGGGAAAGATGTCTCTAGTTTCAGATCTATACCCATTTCCTCTTTCACCACCGCTGTGGGAGGACATTCAGGTCCACCTTTATCCTGAGAAGCTGAGACTAAAACAAATGAGGAAAGTTCCTGTTACAGACCTGGGCCTAGCCCCTAAAGACCAAGGCAAAGTGTCTCACTGTTTCTCATACCACTAAGACTCACCCTTTTTTCTAAGACATTTTTCTTTGGCCATAAGCCCAAGGCCCATCATCTTGGGGCCGGCTCCATAAATCTGCAATTTCTTCAGTTCTGGGTTTTTCTCAATATCTTCTTCAGTTGGTTCTGGCTGCAGGAGACAGAGCTATCTAAGTAACACTGTTTACCCTCACCCCACAAAACAATTTTGTGAAGTAGATAAGGTAGAAAATGGAAAGCACTACATTATGTAGACCTGGGTCCATTATCTGAGAGTAACTGGGATCTTTTGAATCAATAGCTAGGTAAAAAGTATATGAAGTTTCAAGTCTCTTCTTTGGAGGAGTGTGCTCTGATCCTTACTACTCAAAATGAATGCAAAGTAGAACCATGACTCATCCCTCCCAACTAAAGTGTTCACAACATAAAGTTCATGATCAGATTTGACTAGCCATTTATACAATATGAATTCATAGACAGTTGCTAGGTTTAAAGAACTCTGAGGAATATTCCTAATTTGGTGACAATGAGCCTGGAAGATGAGGTTCAGGACCCACAAAGAAAAAGAGGCACAAAGACAGAAAACTCATTTGAAGTTCAGTTAAGATTATAGGGGAAAGGGATGAAGAATCAGTGAAACACTCACATCAGGGTGCAACCTTTTAGCACGTCGACCATAACTGTTGAATTTAGAGGGCTGCACAGACTGACGCAGAGGGATGCTATGGGGTTTGTACTCCTTATCCTTTTCACTGTCAAATGGACGGGTATTACACTGCTAGAGAACACACAGGGAAAAAGCAGATGGGGCCATGTCCCTAACAAAATTAAGTTCATGCATCCAATCAATTACTGACTGACTAGGTTTTGGCTGTGGGAACTGCCTTGATACTAAGTGAAAGAAGCTATTCAATAGTATTATTCATTATATTAAAATTTTTATTGAGCTCTCTCATCACAACCATCACTCATTTTAGACAGACTCTCTGCTCTACTGAGTTATTCTTCTTACTGATCAACGCCATCTCTACTATACAATGGCATGAGAAAAGATAGAGTAGGTAAAGTTGGGGAGTGGGGTGTAAGGGATTACTTTATGGAGGAGTAAAATGCAAAATCTATTATGACAAATGTCATTCTCTCACCTGCTGGGAATGAACCTAGTTTGTACCAGCAGGAAGGGAAAAGAGAGTTAGGAGCTGCACAAAAAGGTAGGTCTCACAGCCTGGATCCCCATGTGATAGTGATAGCAATTCTTTCCCTGCCCCTTTTCTTTACCACCAAGTTGGCTCCAGACTGGTACATCTCATAAGGGTAGATGATTCGCTCATAATGACAGCGTAACAGGGAACCAATGTTTTTGCCAGCTGGGTAGTTAAGGCGTTGAGCCACACGAGCCCAACGACGATCTTTGCTGATGGCCTCATAGCCTCCCTCTTCCACTACAATCTGGAAAGACAGAAACCACATGGGATTACTTGCACTCCAAATCAAACTCAAGTTGTCTAACAATCTCAACAGCCCAAATCCTTGGCTGAGGTCACCAGAAAATGTCATTTCTTCATTGACTACCTCTCTCTCCCCACCCCTCTACACTCCCGTGCTACAACAGAAGAGTGCCTTAAGAAACTGTGGGATGGCCTAGTGATAACCAAGTTGTATTTATTTAACTCTCTGAGCTTATGTTGTCAAAGAGAGATTAACACTCAGAGGGTGGGCTAAATGGAAGGACAAGATGACACATATACTTTGCTGAGGCTGTGAAGATCCAGGATTCGCCGCTCCACATTTGGGATTTTCAAGGAAGAACCCTGTATCTCCCAAAACTTGGCAATCTGATCCAAGTAGTTGAGCTTCACTCTGGTTTGGGCCTGAGAAAAGAAGTTTAAGTTTGAGTAAAGTTTCACCACACCCTTCACTCTCCCTGTATCTGGAGGAGATCTGTATCGGCAAGATATCAAGAACTTGAGACAGCCAGTCCTTCACATAATTTAGGGTACCTTATCACGAAAAAGGTATGACTGATGGTCCAGGAAAAAGTTATATTTCATACAAAGAAATCCATCTCCTCTCTCCATGCCTTTGTCATTAATGCCTAATTAAGCAAAAGTCCATGCTTTCAAGGGACATAGATTTTAAAGGGGAGGCGGAATACCATGTAATAAGATATAAACAAAGTAACTAGCAAGAAAAGTAGAAGGAAGCTTAGACAGCTAGCGCAAGAGATGAGAAGGCAAATAACATGATTGAACCTAGTTTTTAGGCTATGATGCCTAAGTAGCATTAAAACAGTAAATGAGGTAAGCGAAACAGACAATTTAAGCATGTTAGAAATGATGAAAATGGATGTGCCTTAAAGTACAGTGAAGCCCTCAACAGTATCAGGGAAATTTCAGAATTCACTTATTTGGGGGAAATAATCAGCTCCCAAGTGCTAGATAAAAGTTGACAGTATTAATAAATTAGGCTCTTCTTTTAGTTAAATTCTGGCACTGTTTGACAAGTTTTGACAATATCATGGACAGTATAAGATTATGTTGTTTTGTCGATTTATCCTAAGCTCAGTCTCTGGAGTGTCACAGTGGACCTGGATAATCTAGATCCGGGGAGTCTGTATCAGTAAACTGCAAAAGGTTATAGATTAAAAAGATATTATTAGGAAGTATTTTTGCAAGGGTACTCTAAATTGGGTAATAATATAAGAAATGGAAGTTTACAATTTAAAAGAAATATTTAAATTTTGGCAACCAATGGGTCTAGAAATTTTGGAAGCTTGTTTTTGGTTCTGCAGAGCAGGACAAAATAAAAACAGGTTTACCTGGAGTTAGATGATATTAGTATAGCTTTGTTTCAATGTTGATAATTTTTCAATTTTCTTAATCTGTCTTACCTCTAATTCATTCAGTCTTTGGATTCTTGGAGTGAATCTGAAATTGTCTACTTCCACAGCAAAGGGTGGTTGCCAGTCCTTGGACATTATGGATGAGAAGGAAAAAATAAAATGGTTAATAAATGCAGTTGTTGGGGCAGTTAGGTGGCACAGTGGCTAGAGCTCTGCCCTTGGAGTCAGGAGAACCTGAGTTCCAATGGGACCTCAGACGCTTTACACTTACTAGCTTTGTGACACTGCGCAAATCATTTAACCCTGAATGCCTCACCAACTAAATAAATAAATAATATGTAGTTGCTTCAGAGAACTTGTAACTTGTTTGGGGGCTTTTGGTTATAGATGAAAAATCTTACCAGGCATTTGTAAGATGGTGTAGAAGACCCATGAAGTCTGTTATAGTTGTCTTGGTACAGTGTTTGAGTTTTCACAGGGAGAAATTTGTTTTAATTTTAATTTTGTGTAATAGCATAAAGTTTTTAAGATTTTCCTTAGTTATAATGTCATTGGTTGAAAATAATGCTTAACTTGGCCTTGTTATAAAATGATTTATAGATATTGTGGGAAACATTTGTAAGGCACTGTAATTTATTATGTTTTGTATGTATGTTCTATCAATATATATACACTGATATTTTAAAAAGAAAAACAGTTACCTTATGTCAAACAGGTTGGCCATATGGTACTTCGGCAGAGTTATATATAGTTCCTAATGTCAAGTGTTGAGATTCATAAGACAAGAAATTTATATATTTATGTATTTAAAAGGAATATTAAGGTGTATAGATTTTAAGTTTCATTTGTAGTTATATTTTTACTGTATGATATTACTAGAAAGCTTGTTTTATTCCATAAATTAAAAATAAATTTAATTTTTAAAAAAGTAAATAGGATTAACAAAAAAAAATTATACAGGATCAATTAATCAACCATTTGAGGTAGTTTGCTATCAATTTTTAAAGCAAAAGTGGAGTAGACTAATAGAAAACATTTATTTTTGTGGAGTCACTTAAAGTTTACAGTTTTACAAAAAAAGTGAGTAATGGGAACATAGGTCTCGTAGTTTTTTTGTTTACGTGGAGAATTCTGGTTGAAAACTGAGTTTTTTTGTTGTTGTTTTACGTTATATTTCAGTAAGTTTTTTTAGCTTAAAAAAGTTTTTGCTATCTTTTTTATTTTACATAATCATCTTGAGCAGATTTCAGGTGTTAACTCAGGTGTTTTTTTTTTTTTGCATATGTTGGAATCCTTTCAGTGTTAAATTTGTAGGTTTTTAATGGTAAGCTGGGATTTGGTTGTGTTGCTTGGGTGGAGATAGTAGTAGTTTTTAATGTCAAATTTATAAAAAGGTTTTTTGTGTAATTTCCGGGTTGCTTTTAGCTTTTAGTGTTTTTTATGTCTTTTGGCATTTTTTTTTCTCTGCGGCACTGACGGTTCCTTTTACATTTGTGGTCATTTTTTAGAGTTGTTTTTAGTTTTTTAAAATATGGTGATTTTTCCCCCCTCTTGTTTCATTTCACTTTCCCTCCCTTTTTTGGTCAAAAACAAAACCTTTATGCAGCTATTCTGGAGGTGGGGGGGGTGCATTTTTTTTTCCAGAAATATGTGGAAGGCCTCTGAAATGCCTAGTTTAAAGATGTTCTAACCCTTGCTTAGAAACGAGGTGTTTTTAGCCCTTTTCTACACATTAATTTCTCCAATTTATGTAAAAATCTTACCGCTGGCGGCCGGATCTTGCAGATACCCGACTTTTCGGCGATGGGCCGGATCTTGGCGATGTATCCCAGAGGGTCCTGGAACTCGGCCCAGGTCGGTTCAAAAACGGGGCACTCCGGTGGGGGAACGAAGTCCTCGGGCCCAGCCTCCATCGTGGCTTCAAACACAACTTGTGTGATTCGTTCAGGTTCTGTTTAAATTTTTTGAAAAATTGTTGATACTCTCTAACGACGTTGCCTAAAATTTTCTAACGCCGCCATTTTGACTGTGCCGCAACCTCGTCACACTCTTAAAAATTCCTCCGCCTACTTCTCGCGTTTCTTCACGAAAAAGATCTTGAATGCAAAAATAGCCCTTCCAGATATTTAAAGTAAATTGTTGAGCTTCTTGATGGAAATAAAACAAACCAGTCCAAGTTAAAAAAAAAAAAAATTTGCTTTTTTTTTTTTTTACCAGTGCGCAAGGAGACTACTGACGTAAAAGCATCCGGAAACACATAGAACAAAAACAGAAGCTCTTTCACCTAAAATAATAAATAAATTTAAAAAAATCAAATATTATAAAAACTGGCAAGAATTAACATTTTCATTTACAAATACATCCACAAAGTAAAGTAGACCCACTACCACAAAAAACTTTAAAATTAAAACCAAAATAACCTGCAAACATCCTCCAAAATCTTTCCAAAATCACGAAATAAAAATAACATTGAATTTAATACCCCGCAAAAAATCCCGACAAATAGCCACAAAAAAATTAATCCCCAACATAAAACTTTGTCCAAATGAAAAACTATAGAGCCTAATTAAAGTAAGCCCCAAATACTATTTAAATCAAAACTTCCAACATAAATAAATAAAAGCACTACAAAAATTACATATCAAACCAAAATATCTTAAGACCTCACTGAAAAATAATTTTTTTCAAATTACAAAAGAAGACCTCAATCTAACCTGAAACAAAAAAAAATAACCAAAATACTCAAATAATGTCTACTTATTAAGTCATATCCAACTCATCATGACTCTACTTGGATTTTTTTCTTGTCAAAGGTACTGGAACTGTTTGCACAAGTAAACTGAGCCAAAAACATTGAAACAAATTATAAGAAAAATAAAAATACTTCACTAAAAACCTCCTCAAAAACTTGTATTTTAAACCTAGAAACCAAAAATAACCATAAGTAACAGGATGTAATGAATAAAACATACCTCCCAATTTGATGTGAATGCTTTCTAATCAATTGATCAAATAACAAACTACTCAAATAAATCAAATGTAACATATAATAACACAGTTTTTATGTAAGAAGCAGAATAAATTCCAATATAAAATATGTACATAAAAAAATGAAAAAAAATACCCTGAACTCAAGAAATTTGTGAGCATAAAATTCCTGCATATTAAGACAAATGATGACTAATAGTTGTGACAAAAATGGCATTAAAATAAAGTCTATTCCAGGATTTACTTTGACTGAGGTATCATCCATTCAGTAATTCTACATAAGAAATAAATTAAATAAATTAAGAAATGGAACCTTTAATCAGCTAATGAAAAATTTTAATCCATGAAAGGAAGACCCTCAAAGTTTTTGGCCAAAAGAAAAACAAAGACTATTTATATAAGCTTAGAGCCATCAAGGCACCAATGACCATTAAGTGGGGACCTATGTTGGCCAGTCAATGGCCACAGTGAACTGGGTTTAAAGCATGCTCTATTTCTTATTTAAAGCATGCTCTTCAAGAAAGAAATCTAGCCTGTAAACATCAAGATATCTTACTAAGTTTCACACATCAACATTACATTATTTTCTGCAGGTCACATGTAATTAAGGATATAATACTCTATTAGGATAGAGTGAAAGGAAAGATACACAGGGATGTGAAGGAAAGAGAAGAGGAGGGAAGGGAAATAAAAGGTGAAAAGGAAAGAAGTGATAGAATAAAGGAAAGAAGGAAAGAAGAAAAAGAGTAAGGAAGAAGGGAAGACAGAAGGAAAAAAGAAACAAAGAAATGAAAGAATGAAAGGAAGAAAAAAAGGAAGGAAGGAAAGAGGAGATGAATTGCATTGCCCTACAGGAACTGCCAATTGCATCCCTACTGGTGCAGCTCAGACCACTCACAATTTATGGTCTTTCGTTATCCAAGACGACCATAACATCAGGATCATCATGGCATCAGTGATGTGAATTAACTGGGAGTGATTGCAAGAAGGACAAACTGAGATCTGGGAAAGACCTTAGTTTAAAAACCCAAGGTCTCCCTAGGTCCACTTCCAGCCATGTTGACCTATGTCTTGCCACTGGACCCATATGACTCTGGAAAGCAGAATGAAGATGATGACTTTGCACCACCCACTTCACTTAAATCCAATTCACTTGCAAGTAAAGACATCATCCTCTTGAAGTCATTAGTTCTCTTTGAGAATGAAGGACAGACAACACTGATATTTCTGAGAGTTTTCGTTTTGGGATATCATTCAGATGGTGATTTTTGGATTCTTTCAATGTCTATTTTGCTCTCTGGTTCTAATACATCAGGGCAGTTTTTTTTTTTGATAATTTTTGAAAGATTTTGTGCAAGTTTTTTATTTATTTATTCATTTATTTGGTCATGACTTTCAGGTAGTCAGTAATTCTTAAATTCTGGATCTATTTTCTAGGTCCCATGAGAAACTTCACATTTTCTTAAATTTAAATTATTTTTTTAAATTTTGTTTTATTAAATCTTGATGTCTCATAGAGTCACTTGCTCAATTCTCATTTTTAAGAAATTATTTTCGGCTCAGATTCTCAAATTCTTAAAATCTAGCCATGGGCTTAGATACTTGTAATGTAGCTAACAGTTCACCAATGTTAAGACTCCTTAAGAATCTGCCCAACATGACAATATTCTAATAAACCTTGTCTTTGGCTGAAAGAAGACTTGAGTCGAATTCTTTTGAGCAGGACCTGCGTGTTGTGATTTTGGGGTCCCAGCACCCCTAAACCTCTAAACCTCAACATTTTCGTGGCCAGTATGGGGAAACTGCCTAACCCTCAGTTCTTCTCCAACCAAAACTGGAAACCTCCCCACCCCTTTCTTGCTCTGCAATTGGGGTCGATCTCCAAGCACCAAGGCTTAGAGGTGCTTTTTGGGCAGACAATCACAAGATTATCTGGAACTCAGCCTGACGCTCTCAGGCTCCCAGTCCGGCTCCCAGTCCACTGTGTTGGTTCGAGGCCGTGGACCTCGGTACACCTTATCTCAGCACCACAGAATTGGGGAAAACTGCAATTGCTTTTTGGTTCCCTGAGGCTTACTTACTCCCTCCCCTCTACTCCCCTGAATCCTTCTCCACAGAGGTTGTGGGGAAAAGTTATAAGAGCTAAAAATAACTTGGCAGATTCTGGAGATTTTGTGATTGATCATTAAGGAGTTATGAAACTCCTCCTTACAAACCTGGTCACTCGTTTCTCCCACTCCCTTCCGTTCGGTCAAGAGAGTATGACCCCTCTCATAGGAGAAGAGAGTTTCACCCTTTACCCCTCACTCTTGATTTCAGCCTCCCGCAGGGTGGAGGAGGTGGAAGGGGCAGCAGCTACAGTGGGTTCCCCCTGGCAATGGCCTTTGGCCCTAGGGCAATCTTTGCCAGGAAGCATCACTTGGGTTCGACACATCTTGATCAAGGTAAAGAAGCTAGACTGTGAACTTGGGAAAGCATGCTCTTTTAAATTTGTAGTTTTAACTGTTAATGATGAGATGTTGATTCTCTGTGTAATTTAGAAATGCATTTAACAAAACTGAACTCACCTGCTTGGTAATATGTTTGTTTCAAGTTTCAAATTGGTAAACTTTTTATATCAGTTATGTCAAGCAACTTTTCATAACTTGGTTACTGCTAAAATAATTTGGCTATTATTGGTTATTGTTTTAATGTGTAAACTTGCCAAAAAACTTGTTTCAGTTTTGTTTTGCTAAGAATTTACAATTACATAAGAATAATCTCTAATGATTGGCTTTTTACACCGGCACAAATTTAAGTTTGAGATGTAAATCCTGGAAAAGTTTTTCTTAAACTGTGATTAATGATACTTGCTTTTGAGGTAAAAGCTAATAGAATTTTATTTTGAGTTGTCTGATGGATCATAATCCATTGATAATCAATAATCCACCATGTGAGAGAAATTCCACAATCTACTCAGAGAATGTGATATTGGTGGGAAGTCAGCATTGGGAAAAGCTGAGAGTACAATTTTAGCCTCAGTCTAAGATGGGATCCTCCTGGCTCAGTTTCCCCCAAACCACATCAACTACACATTATTATGAAAAAAATCATAAGCATTATTATGAAAAATCATAATTCTCTGCACATCCTGTCCTTTCAGCCAAAAGTTTTGAATGAATGAGGAACACTCATCAGAAATGTAATTTTGATTTTATGTAAGAATAAGTGAGTTATAAATCTAATGCCAAAGTAGACAATAAGACAAACAAAGAAAAGAAATATCAAACCAGGGAGGCCAGAATGGAGATGCTGTGAAGGTTTTCAGGCAACCAGGAGAGTAGATAAAAGGGGCAATTCAACAGTAAAGGTACCAGTATCAGAGGGTGAATCCCAGGGAGAGTGATTGAGACTCGCTAAACTCAGTGCCTACAGGTGTTTAGCATTTATTGTTATGGGATTAGAGGTTTTTCTGAGATTGCCACACTAACCCAGAAATTGAATAGATGCTTTTACAGTTGCCTTGGTTGTGGTAAAGGTCAGAGGTCTGATGCCTGATTTGGTAGGGCAGGCCCATTTGTTACTACGAGTTTTTGCAGTATTTTGAGGTGTACCAGTCCTGTTCAGGGAGATCTGTGGCCAAAGAAGCTGGCCAGGGGAATCAAGTGAGACATTTAGGAAAGCAACTCATGTGGAGTTCAGAATAAAGGTAAAATTACATTACTTGGGATTTAATGATCCAAGATGAAGACCCATGTTGCTGCTTATGCCTTGGAGGCAGAGCAGAACTTTTGTCTACAAGGAGACCCCTAGAGGTTTCCGGAGCATGTCTCCTTGGACTGAGAATCCACCCAGTCCCAGTCAGCTTCACAGACCAGCAGCTTATGTGAAGGGAGCAGCTAGTATACCATACCATTACTTCTATCCTTATTCTCAGGACACTTCCACAGTAGAATTAATGGACTTAATAGCAGATAAATTGAGTGTTTCAGAGAATCATTGCATTGGGCTCTGGAGTGGGTGGTTCAACAGGGGTGAGGCATATAAGCCTGTTGACCAGAATAGGAATAGGAGAAACATTTTGGAAAAT